CCAAAATTAAGGAAGGAAAGGTTTATTTAGTACAGTTTGTGGAGGTTTCAGTCCACACTTGGCTGGCTCCACGGCAGAGTGGCACATGACAGAGAACAACAGTTCATCACAGCAGAACAACAAAGCAACAAGAGCAAAAGGGAGGAGTGGCAAGGGAAGCAAGCCTCTTTCCTTCCCTTATATTGTAAGCAGGCTACCCCCACCCAGGGAAAGTGTAGCACTCACATAATCTCCATGCCCTGCTCTTGCACAGGCTCAGGATGATACAAAGTAAGCACCCTGGCTCTCTGCTGAGTCACACAGTTGACCTTCTAAACTTCTCAAGTTGACACAATGAGCAACATCTCAGAAGGATAACAGCGTGTCCTTTTCACCCCAAGATGCAGAACTGCTGAGTCACTTAGCCAAACCTCTAGACTCCCCAAATTGACACAATGTATCAACCATAACACTGGCTTTTACCAGGGCAAATATATATATATATATATATATATATATATATTCATTTCTGTGTAGGCACAGGAAAACAAATCTTCCTTAAGGCATTCCTCCCACATGAACTCTACAACTAAGACTTCATCATTTCCTCTAGAGCAGAGGTGAGCCTTTTAGAGAACAGTGCTTACTTACACTGCAACCCTAAACCTATTTGTTTATTGCCAATTGCCAACACAGCAATCAAACCTGAACACCGTTTTAGTTTAGAAAAAGCAACTCATACATTAACATCTTTTGTCTTAAAAGAAAAACACAATAACAGAGCTTTCAATGACACAAAGAGCTTCTTATTGAAAGGTAAAAGCTTTCGCTTGGCTTGCTTTTATGTGCTGTTATCTGAGGCTGGGCTGCTGGGGAGACACCTGCAGAGAGGGCTCTGCATGCCCACTGCAGTGGGGCACCATAGGTTCACCACCACTGCTCTAGAAAGTAATTCCTATTGTTTCCTCCGTTTGCCACAGGATTTGCAGACTCAAATGAGAGAAGTAGATCACAGATAAGACAATAGATATAAAGTAGTTTATACTCCTCTCTCATACTGTCCTTCGCAACACTCTCAGAAGCATGTATATGAACCACACAGAACCTGCTGCTCTTTCACATTCCAATCTTTACAGTTCATCTTTGGTCCCCGTCTTTATTCTGTGTATCTGTCTGTTTTCTTCCCCATTAGAAGGCAAAAACCATATTCATTAGTGCAAAAAACTCTGATTTATTATAATAAGGCACATTAAATGTTATAACAGAAGTATATATGCACTGCTATGGGAAGGAAGGCATTATCTAGGACAGCTTCTCTGAGGACTGATTTGAAGCTTAATCTTGATGGACATTTAGGAGCTTGCTGGGCACAGTGAAGAAGAAAAGGGCAATGTTGCTCAAAGACAACATATGCTTGCTTTAGAGGTATTAAAGCAAATCTCTTAAGGAATTGTCAAGTGTTTCTGTATGAATAGAGGACAAGAATGCAGCTGGAGATAACTAAAAACGAAGCAGAGATGAGATCACAAAAAAGCAACTGGGAGTCACTTGAAGGTTTCGAGGAGGAAAAGAGCATAATCTTGTAATCATGTAGAACATGCAGGGTAGGGTGTGAGGCTGAAGACAGTTTCAGAGTGTTAGGCACTCATGGATGTGTTAAATGATTAGTCTGAAATAAGGAGGTAACTGTGGGTAAGTAGGAGAGAGAATTGAGATCTATTTAGGAGAAATAATCAACAAAATGTAATAACTGATTGGATATGGAGGAATTAGTAATACTGTACTGGCTTCTAGAATACTCAAATAAGCCGGGCATGGTGGCATACGCCTGTAATCCCACCACTCAGGAGGCTGAGAGAGGAAGATTGCCACAAATTTGAGGCCCACCTGGGCTACACAGTGAGTTCAAGACCAGCCTGCATTACAAAGCAAGGTCCTCTCTCAAAAAAACAAAACAAAAAAAATTAGAATAATCAAGTAGATTACCTATGTTCTGGGACAAGAAATACAGTCCAAGTCCAACCCACATAAATAAACTAAAGATTCCTTTATCTTCTTAAACTTCTTTATTTAACCCTAACCCCACTCTCCCTCCTTCTAGCCTCAAGTTTACTACTCAGTAAACAGTCTTCACAGACTCAGAATTCTCTAGGCAGCCTCCTAAACAGTCTCTCTATATCCCAATCCAGCAGGATCACACCTAGTTTAAAGACTGACACTCACTATACCCTTACTATAGCCTACTGTTATGGTTTGTGTCAGAATGTCCCCCCAAAGCCTCACGCAGTCATGGGGTGGGCTTCTAGAGTTTATGATTAATTCATGGTCCAATGTTGGAATTATAGATGTGAGTGCTACACCCGGCCTGGGGTGGACAGTTTGCATACAATGTAAGGGAGGGAGAGAGGACGCTTGCCACTGCTTTCCCTCTTTGCTCTTATTGTTTTTGCTATCTTCTGCTGCCATGAACAGTTGCCCTATGCCATGTGCCACTCTGCCTTGAAGCCAGCTGAGTATGGACAGAAACCTCCACAAACTGTGAGCTAAATAAACCTTTCCTTCCTTAATTTTGGGCATCAGGTATTTTGTCTCAGCAACAAAAGTAACCAAGACACTATATAGCCTACTATAGCCCACTATGCAATTAGACTATGCAGTCTGACCTACTGTTCTTATGCTACAAACCTGTACAGCTTGTTACTATACTACTTACTACAGGTAATTGTAAAACAATGTGCAATATTTGTATATCTAAATATATGTGACCTGGGCCTGGGGATTTAGCTCAGCGGCAAAGCGCCTGCCAGGCAAGCGCCATGTTGTGAGTTCGATTCCTGGTACAGGAAAAAAACTAAAAAAATAAATAAATAAATGGAAAAAAAAATATATATATATATGTGTGTGTGTGACCAAATAAAAAGTACAATAAAAATACTAGTTGATAGAAATTTTTCCACTCCATTATAATCATATGGGACCACCATCATTTTCCCAAAATATTATTTGGTGCATGACTATATTTCTCAGTGTGTGCTCTTCCAACTACCTTCAAGAATCTCCTGTGGAGGGCCAGGGATGTAGCTCAGCAGTGCAGCATCTGCTTAGCAAGAGTAAGGCCCTGAGCTTGCTTCCTGGTACCAAAAAGGGAAAAAAAAAAAAAGAATCTGCTATGGAACTAGATAAAAATACAATTTTTTTGTTTTGTTTTTTTGAGACAGAGCCTCACTATGTAGTTCAGGCTGGCCTTGAACTATGTTGCACAGGCTGGCCTGGAACTCACCCCGATCAGCCTCTCAAATGCTGGGATTGCAGGCATACACCACTATGCCTGGCTCAAAAATACAAATTCCTTGACTCATATCCCATACTTCATGAATCACAATCCTGGAGTTGGGGAGAAACAAGTTGCATTTTCATGTCCTGTCAATTCTGAACTATTATCATAGTCCAGCCTGCACACCTATCAAATGTTACATCACTGTGTTGCAGCTCACATTTCTTTTTTAGATACTGAGCTACATCCCCATAAATCCTCACTTTTTTTTTGAGACAGTGTCTTCCTAAGTTTCCCAGGTGAGACTTGAACTTGAGATCATCCTGCCTCAGTCCCCCAAGTGCCTTGATTATGGACATGCATCACTGTTGCTCAAAATAATTTCAGAACTTCTGTGTGAACTACAAACTCCTCTTTCATTTGACTCAGATCTTTCCAATATACATTTTTTATTCCAACAAGGTCATCCTCATCTCTCACTTTCCTCTTCCCTAACCCACATAGTTTGGCACTTTCTCCAGGCCTTTACATTTAATATGACTTCCAAAACCTGAGACTTCTCCACAGTTTTGTCCCTCATGAACTCCTACCAATAGCCTATTCACAGAAGCCTGGTTTAAATGCTGGCATTTTCCCAATTACTCCAACCCTACTTCTGACTCCTACTTATGAAATCCTATAAAATTTATAGGCAGTATGCACAATTTAATATGTTGATTACTTCAACACATATAAACTAAAGTTCTTATCTAACTTTTACTTTCTAGTCACAATTCTTGGTATATAATGTGCACTCAGTAAAGACTTAGTGATTTTCTTAAACTATCTCAAAGGTTGATGGCTTTTTTTAATCCCCTGTAGATATTATATGAGTTTTTAGAGGAAGAGGAGGAAGAAATCAATTTTTTAACAAAAAATAATTATCAAATATATTCCCTACTCCAGATACCACAGTACTCCATTAATGCATCCTACCTTGTTCTCTGAATAAAAAATACATACTTAATCAGAAGGTAAACTATGTATAAGTAGCTCTCCATCGCACACTTTTGGACTATTATGCAATATTGTACTATATACAGTACAATACAGGACACTTTTGGACTATCATGCAATACTGTACTGTATAATTACAGCACTGAGATATTGTGCCTTGAGTATAAAAATTTTTAAATGACAGCAACAGAAAGAACTTTAAAAGGTAATATAAACCATTCATTTCCATTTATCCCATTTTATAACTCAACGCCAGAGAAATATGAACTGCCCAAAGTCATGGAGTGAAGTAATAGCACCCAACAAAAACAAATACACAGGGCCCCTAAACTCATGGCACGGGTCGTTTACATAATACTATGTGCTCAGTGATACTAAAATCAAAGTGACATCTTAATAAGATTTCCCATGAGCATGAACTAATATTTAGGAGTCTCTCTCTATAATAATAAAATATTGAGGTACAATAAACAATTTCATCAGAATCATACAGATTGGAAAAAATAATTCCAAAAAAGATAAAATTTTCTATGAAAATAAATAGGCACATTCTACTTTTAAAACATTTACCAAAACTACAAGAAAAATACTTACCAGAGCTACATTCCAATCACCTTACCCGAACATTCACCTCAATGCCTTAGTAAAACAGAACCAAAAGAAAAACCAAACGTACAAAATACAAGCAAAAACAGCAGCTCCCATAAATACAAGTTTATATCTAAAAGTAAAACACATCTTTTGTACTTACCGTAACTTTACTTCCAACTATCTGCATGCAGTGGTCAACAAAGAGTGATTATGATGTAAAAAAAAAAAACAAACAGCAATAATATTAGTAATCAGAAGCTTTTCACAGAAGTGTTTAGTAAATTAGTAAATAGTTCACCCTATTTATAATTTTAATACTTTGTAACTAGAGGCTAAAATAAATATATCAATATCAATATCTACCATATTTCAAAAATATGTTGTCTGCAAAATAAGAATTCCCAAATAAAGGCTAATTACTATATGAGAATATTTTCAAATATTCTGCAATAGGCTTCTCACATAGGGCAACTTAAAATTATCAAGTTTTGTAAAGTAAATTGTAATCCAGCATCAGATATTTTGCAACATTTTGCAATTGATATACAGCCCCTCAAAAAATTGCAAATAGAAAATTGAATTTTTCCTGATGATTGCTTTTTTCTTTTCCTGTATGATAAGCATAACATTAATGTTGAAGCAAGTTCTTTTAGAATATAAGTACTGAATTTTAAATCATGCATTAAGTTCAAAAAAGAACTTTAAATTGAAAAATGCTATTTTTATACTGTTATAAACTTAAGGTCTATAAAAATTTTTTATCCTGTACTTGAAAATTACAGAGATACATTGTTTATTATTCTAGTTCTCCTAATAATCCTAGCATTTCAATTATAAAATCAGAATTTCTATATAATATGAGAACAAAGAAGCAGTTTATAGCTAAACATGCACATATTCATAAAGAGGAAATAGTTCAAAAAATTGAAGTTTCCTAATAGACAAGAGATAAAAGAATTTCTGAGAGGCAGAATTGTGTTTAGGAAAGCAAGAAGCAAATTCACAATCCTAAACATAATCTTATGCCAAAATCTAAAAATAAGTCAAATCACTGTTATCAGATTCCTACACATGAATATCAAGCAGTGTCCAAAAAAGAACTAATCCACAAATTAAAACCATTAATCTGATACCAGTTATTATCAAGATATGTTCCACTTTTCAGCCAATGCTTTAAATATAAAATCAAATTTCACTGAAACCCTTGTAAAAGTCTTAAGTCCAACAGAATATCTCACAAGATGCAAAAAGATAATGGCAGTTTCTAAGTAAATTATTTCAGAGGAATCCATAAATCTCCAAATAGAGAAGCGGGTTTCTTAAAAATTCATTCAACAGACTATTTACAGGCAGTAATTATTTAGTTGAATGAAAGCTCCTTTGGTTCCATTAACAGTCTTCTGAATTGAGAGATATGCTATTGACCTAAATTATTCCCTCCCACCATAAAAGACAGAAGTTGTATTTGTCCCTTATTTATTTAGCATGGGCATGTGACTATAAAAAGAATGTGAGCCTGTCTTAACAATTAAGGCAAGTCTATACTCAGTGAAACAACCAAAATGAGGCCCATTTAATGATTCACTTAGATTGCAGAATGACTGTATTTAGCTAAAGCACACAGAACAATAGATTAGACTGATTGCTCAAGAGAAGCTAACATTTCATCATATCCAGACCATACCTGGAGAAAGTAGTTTCTGATTACAAAAGCAAAACTGTAATAAACGTACCCCCCACACACACACAGTTGTACTGCAACTGTTAACTACTTGTCATACAGGTAAGTCTAGCAAATCTGTAGATGGAGTTGGTATCACTATTTTATTTCCTATTGAGTTTTAAATCAGTGATACCTCTTAATGGGTTCATATTTTCAAACATATCATCCAACATATTCTAAAGTCTCAACTTCAAAACCTGATTTAAATTATTTCTTAATATTCTGATAAGGACATCGGCATTTGGCAAACTAGTGAGGACTTTGGTGAATAACTTTTCTTAATAAATGTCTGTATATGCTATCAAGTGCATGCAAGATCTCTCTAAAGTACCAACACATAATGTTTCAGGATTATAACCTGATAGTATGACTTTTGGAATATTAACAAAGCTTAGTCTTTCATTTTCGAAAACATATATCGTTTTTCTGAAAATACCAACTCTTACGGCCAGGGACATAGCTCAGTGGCACAGCACCTGCCAGGCAAGTAGAAGGCCGTAAGTTCGATTCCAGATACAAAAAAAAAAAAAAAAAAGAAAAGAAAATATCGACTCTTCCAGTGTGTTGGTAGACAAATGATCCACATACATCAACAACCTTTACATCAGATCTGTAACCACACCTCCTACAATGAGGAAGAAGAGTCCATCTCATGGCAGATAAATGCAGAGGAGATTCCTTGCCACTTGCCTACTTCAAGTTCATTCATCACTCAGAGTGGCCCAAGCTATCCTTTTTTACTTTAATATTCATACAACTTTACTATTTTGGCACTTTAAGAGGAAAAAAATTAAGCACTAGTTTTTTACTATCTTGTGATTTCCTTAATCTTCTCTTTTCCCATGCTACCTTTAGCAAAATTAATTTACAGCAAAAGACTCATGTGTACTTTAGAAACAAGTTTTGACCATTCATCGTACATTGTTTTAGCTTACTTTCATGTGCTTAACCAGAAATTCAGGAGCATGATGGACATTTGTTGAGCTCACATTTTGTTTGTTTTTAGATCCTATACAAAATGACTAAAGCAGATGGCTAAAAGGGAAAATGTTCAATTTATGCTTAAATTTAACTATAATTCTCAGATGTTTTGCATGTGACTATAAAACATTTTTCCACCAGAGACTCTAGCTAGCTCTTACTCTTTTTTATTTACTTTAAGATGAAAAATTTTGACTACCTGTAAAGCATTTTCATAAAGTAAATTACCATCATCTGCTTTAAATAAGGAAACATTTTTAATGAGCATAGTAATATAATGAAAAATACTAAACAAGGATACATACCTAAAGCCTAATGAATGACAGTATGAGGATGGGAAGCTTAGTTATAAATGGGTAAAGAACCATACATACATTTGGTGCTAATTGACGCAAATTTTATTATCCTGATCGTGCAGAGGTCAAAGGATCTGATATTGTTTTTCACTGAATGCTACCCCTTTTGTCTTTCAAAGGTAATTACCTGTAAAATCTTCATAGTTTTAATGATCTAAAACAATGCTAACTAATGTCTTCCTAAGATAAGGAAGCTTCAAAATATGATTGCTTCCATCAACATGTATGGGCCATGAAAAATAATAGCAAAAAAAAGTATAATCTTAGACCTTTTCTGACCTGGGCATGGCACACCTGTAATCTCAGTACTCGGGAAGCTGAGGCAAGAGGATCACAAGTTCAAGGCCAGCCTGAGCTACATGGTCAGACACAGTCTCAAACAACAACAACAAAGGACTCATAAATGTGCTGTGCATATAGGAAGTGCTCACAGGTAAACTGAAACAAACAAGGACCACATACTACCCAGTAGTACTGAATTTGGGACTAGCATCTTAAACAAGAAATGTGCGTGCGTATCTTTGGAGAAATATTCCACTCTCGTCTTTTGAATAAAGCACTTCAAATGAGCTTATCTAACATTTAACCAAATGTTTGCATTTTAATCTGAAATATAAGTATATAATTCAAAACATACATTTCTTTAGTCAGATGAAGAGAAAAAAGCATGAAAATAAGTTCTGCATAGAGATCAAGGAATAATCAAAAGGTCAAGAAAGAACAGCATCATGTAATCGTCATTACAGCCCATCCTACTTACACAAACAACTACAAATGAGCTAGAGACACTAACAAAATCATATCAATAAAAAAGACCACATGATTAGTCATGTATCATTATCTGTACTTTGCACTCAAATTTAGCTATATAGATTCAGTGTACTTGCCTTCGTGTATTTGAAAAATAACATTGAATCTATAGCCTGCATTTCCTAAAGCATTTTACTGTGAACAATAACTTCAGTGCAAAAATGAGAAGAGATTCATCAGAATTTCAAAGTAAAACCCTATGCATCACCTAATTCTATTGAAAATGATGCTCATGGCAAATTTCACTTATCACTTGAAACATATTTCTGCCCTTGGATACAGAAGCAAATTAAAAAACATGCTGTTGCTCTGCTCTGGCAGAGCTGCAATGTGTTATATTTAAATAGCTCAGCATTCAGATTTAGCTTGCCTAAAGTACGATATACAATCAACACAATCTCAAAATTTAATAATTGCTACTGGAATTACTATACTGAAATAGTATTAATAGGAGATCCACATAACTCTAAAATATATTTTTCCAATAAGAAACTGTTTTCTTCACTGGTCAACTCTTTAAATTTAAAATATGTATGTTTTAAATATGTGTTGTGTATGCACACACATATATATACATACACCTACACATAAAATTACACACACAGTGATTTTATGAACTCTTGTTATGAAAAGCTCTGTACAGAAATGTAAAAGATGCACTTTGCCATTTCAAAAATACATTTTTTTCTTACCAAAAAATCAAATCTGAAGACTATTTTTGGAAGCACCTTAGGAAATGAACAAAGCAAAATACTCTATTAAAACAGTATGTTTTTCCTGCTAAGTCCCCTCAATAAACCCTACTTTCAAGTTGAGATACTCACAGAGATTTGATTAAAGTATATGCTTTCCTGCATATTAAACAAAGCTGCCCAGTGTCAATTATGAGGTAGCTTACACAGCTTCCATTGAATAGAATGAAAAAAACAACAAAAAATCTGGATATTTCAAAACATTGCTAAAAATTACACACAAGTAGGCATCAGACATGTAGCTTTAATGTAAACTTAATTAAAGGCCGAATGTGCTATGTTTATGTCTTCTCTCTCAAAATCTCAATTTTTCTTACAACAACCTATACATTCAGGTAGAATATCTATGAAATATCAATTTTTAGTAAGTGGAAAAAAACTCTGGCTCCGATCTCACTAGATAATTCAAAAGCCTCCTATCCTTTTCAGTCTATTGTTTATAATAATGAAAGTATCTCATTTTTAAACATGAAATTTCAGCTTTAAAATATACAGTAAACATGTAAAAATGAATAAATTATTTCCTAAATAGCTGATGTGAATACACAGAAGTAAGAATTTGAAGATCTGAGGTTTGTTTATTTTTAAGTAGATAATGCTAAGCTCAGTGTGTTGGTGCCAGGAAAATTTACTTACAGATTTGGTAGTAGCAGAAATATACTGGACAACCATCTCACGCTTTGTGGTAAAATCTTTGTTTCGTAAAGGAGCTTTCTTTTCTTCATTAAGGTTCATGTCCTCCTGTCAGAAAGAACAGTTCTGTGAGCATTGATAAATTTCTGCTTAAGACTTTCAAAAAGGATTAATAAACATCAACAATGTCTATGTCTTAAAATTTTAAGTTATGTTTTACCAAGATTTTTTTTCTGGATACTTCACTGTATTATTTTTTTCTCTAGATACCATACTCTTATGCACATCTTACAGTATATTCAGGGTTTATGTGTATACCCAGACAACCAGTGAGCAGAAAGAAAAAATATATTTTTAAATCATTCCACAGAATAGAGTGGCAGTTTATAGCATAGGCAGACACTATACAGCCCCAGCAAACTACTTACAGTATTTACCTCATTAGCAAAAGAAAACACACACACACACACACACACACACAATTACTATTTGGCATATGCTCCCTTGAGATCACTATTATCCAGTAAAGCAAATATGATTGGCAAATTAACAGGGAATACATACCTATGAAATTTCTGAAGAAAAACCCACAAGTTGCTGATGGACTTAAAAGGTAAAAGAAAAGGATAGACATACTGTAGTTAGACGTACCGGGAAAACAAAAATCACTCATAATGGAAAAATATTCAGTTACAGGAACACACTGAGGTTCAATTTAATTTGCTTGGGAATCCATTTTTATTTTGTGATGTACACACATAATGCTTTCATTTAACAAATTATTTTTCTTCATTTTAAAACTCATATTAACCATTGCAACACATGAAGACACAGTTGATGGATCACAAAACCAAGATGGAAGTAAATTTGTTCCAAAATCCAACAAGTGAAAAGACAACCTACAAAATGTGTAAAAATGTTTAAAAATCGTATCTGATCAAAGATGAGTGGCCAGTTATACAAAACAACTCTTTACAAATCAACAATACAAACATAAACCAATTACAAATGGACAAAAGATTTATACAAATATTTTCTAAAGAAGATATAAAAATGGCCAATAAAGCTGAGCATACTAGCAAACGTCTGAGGATTGCAAATTTGGGCCCAGCCTGGGCAACTAAGCAATTTATTGGGACTCTGTCTCAAAACCAAAAATATAAAAGGCACTGGTAAAGTAGTTCAATGCAAAGTCCTTGGATTCAGACCCCAGTAATGAACATATACACACACACACACACACACACACACACACACACACACACACACAAATGACCAATAAGCACATGAAAATATGTTCAACATTATTCATTGAGGGAATGCAAGTTAAAATCAGAAGAGATAACCCTCACTCCCACTAGCTTAACTAGAAGAGGAGCCAGGTATGGTGCATACCACTCAGGAAGCTGAGGCAGGAAGATCTCAAATTCCAGGATAGCTGGGCCTACATAAAAAATTCAAGGCTAACCTGGGCTATATGGTGAGATTCCGTTTCAAAAAACAAAACAAACAAACAAAAACAAAAATGAAAAAATAACAAATGTTCACAAAGATGGAACCCTCACACATTCATTGCTGGTGGGAATGTGAAATTATGCAGCCATTTTGGAAAGGGGTCTGGCAGTTCCTGAAAAAGTTAAATACAGAGGTAGCACTACATAACTCTGATTATATACCTAAGAGAAATGAAAGGATTTAACATCAAAACTTGTACATGTATGTTTTTACAGCATTACTCCTAATAGCCAAACAGCACAAACTATCCATATGTCCATCAAATGATGACTGGATACATGTCATAGAGCCACCCAATGGAACATTATCCAACCATCAAAATGAATAAAGTACTGATACATACTATAAACAAATGAGCATGGGAAGCACATTATACAAAGCAAAGAAACCAATCACAAAAGACCACATAGTGTATGATTCTATTTATACAAAATATCCAGAAAAGGAAAACCAACAAAATAGTGTCAGAATATCCAAAATGCTCTCTTTTAGCTACTTTGAAATACAGAATATATTACTTTTAACTACAGTCACCCTACTATAAAGAGAATTCCAGAACCTATTATGTCTCTTATCTAAATGTAACTTTGCAACCTTGGGCCAAATTCTCCTATCCTCTCTCCCGCAGCCCTTCATAGTCTCTGGTAACCATTATTCTATCCTCAATTACTATGAGAACATAAATGATTGGCAGTGTAAATTAATACAGCCATTATGGAGAAAAGTATACAAGGTCTTCACACACTAGATATAGAACTACCATATGACCCAGTAATCTCACTATTGGCTTCCAAAGGAAATGGAATCAGTATGCTGAAGAGATACCTGTACTCCCAGGTTCACTACAGCACTGTTCACAACAGCCAAGAAATGGAAACAATGTATGTGTCCATCAAATGACGAATAAGGAAAATATAGTACATATGCACAATACAACACCATTCAGCCATAAACATGAAATCCTGCATCTGTGACAGCACGAATGGAACTGGAGATCATTATGTTAAGTGAAGTAAGTTAAGCTCAGAAAGACAAATGCTATACAATCTCATTTATATGTAGAACCCCCAAAAGATTGGATCTCAATTTCTAAAAGTAAAAAATCAATATTATCCTTTTACTGTTTCAATAATTCTAGCCACTTATTTGCAATCAAGTAAAATATGGGCAAAAAACATTAGTTATTTTAAAGACTCATATGAGAATGTGGTAGAAAAAAAACTTGAGAAGTCATCAAACTGCATCTGTCTATTAAACACATGTTGAGTATCCATAATCTAAAAGCCCAAAGTCTAAAACTTTTTGGTATCAATTTGAAATGTTTCACATGCCATATTGTGCTTTTTCTGGAGCACTTCATATATCTGATTTTCAGATTAGCAATGCTCAACCAGTAATGTCCATACAAATATTACGAAATCTGAAACAACTCTGAAATCTGAAACAGTTCTGGTCTCAAGTATTTTGCATAAGGGACAATCAACTTGAAACAACTTCAGTAAAAGCAAAAATCACAAGATCTATTTGGACCCCCTGCATTGACTTTTATGGTGGCTCATTCATAGCCAATATCTATAAATTGCTAGTATATGTACATATTCTCCTTCTATAATCACCTAGACCAATGTCTCTCTTACTTTTTCTATCTTACATCCTCTTCTCATTTGAATAGCTTACTTGTAAATGACTACCATTGCTCAATCAAAGCAAAACCATAAAAAGTAGGTTGTATATTACTTTAATGTAGTCCACAGATATTCACCTTTATTTTGTACCTACTTCAACTGATAGAGAGCTCACAACCACCTTAGCCCAGCTCATTTTAGGGCAGATTAATTTTTGCTAAGTTTTTCCTTGGAGGACTAGACATGAAATATGTACACAAAATACTAATAATGTATTAGGGTGGCAGGACTGTGCCTTTTCTTTTCCTTCTCTACTTCTAAAATCACTTATTTGCTGGATACATACTGCACAGGAGGGATTATCTAAGGCTGACTAACGGAGTGTAAATTTGAGAAATCACTTTCACACTCAAATGAAATGTTATTACTTATGAAGCAATACCTGATACTTATTAAATGGTATATATGTTTGTGGAATAAATAATTCATGGCCTATTAGAAACAAATAATTATAATAAATGCATGTGCAGGACCCTTGGAATCACAGGACAGATGGAAAGGCCAGAAAAACCTTCAGCAGGATTTAAGTCATGAAGGATGAGAAAAATCTGGCCAAAGGCCAGGAACATAGATAGCTAGGAGAGTCTGGTGGTTATCTATCAGTTTTTGGCTGCCCAACATCATTTAAACATGTCCTACACATTTTCGTATAACCTGGCATTGTCAGTCCCATCTAAAACAAGGTAGAATGTATAAAAGCTACATTTATCAGCCTCCCTAATAATTAGAGTACAGCCATATGGCTTAGTCTCCAGCAGTGTAATGCATTTAAAAGAGATGCATATCCAGAAGGGAACAATATAAAGAAATAGGCCACGAATAGGTCATCCATGTTGCTGGTATGGGTGACAACAGAGATCACATAATTATAGAATTGCTGGTAGTAGCTGCATAATTTTTACTAATACAGTTCAACCAAGTAGTTTTAGAGTGGCAACAGATCCTTAATCCGACTGTATTTTAGTTGTGTGGTTCTGGAAGTTATTCCCATAATGTTATCTGAGGCCTGTTTTATAAACTTCCTGATCAAAGAGCAAACTAATATCTCTTAACAGTATACTTAAATTAGCCAGAATGGACTTTCTTAAGCTCAATAATTTGGGCTACTGATGTATTTCAAGTGACTAGAGATGGGTCGAGCTAGGAAAGATGGTAGCCAGACTGCACAGAAGGAAATCATTCAAGAACCATGTAAATGATTTTTGAAGGCAACACTGTCTCTTTCAGGCGAAAGCAAACCTACTAGCTTGAATTTATCGTCACGTGATGTGGCTTAGCATCCATGTCTATCTCTCCCAAATCCTCCATGGTAAATGCCAGGAAGAAAAAGACTTCCATCTCCTTCATCTTGACGTACTATACCTCTATTAATTCAACCTCTGATTTTATGATCTTATTGGCTAAAAACATGTTTCTGCTGATCCAAACTATGCTCGTTTTCATCAAAATCCATAAATTCTGCTCACATAGGCTAGGGTATGCCTTTATTGCCTCAGAACATTCTAGTTAAATTTCAGTAAATATGATTGTCATAAATCTGCAACCCCTTAGTAGAATCAGTTTTGAAGTACTAACAAGAACGTTTATATCTGTACACTTTCAGCCAATCCAAAGAGGGTAGGTATGATCTGCTCACCTCTCAATGATACCTCTACATTTACTATGTGCCTCCCTTCAATTTATAATGGCACACACTGCTGAGATTATGCCATCAGAGTAGTATTATTTTGGAAGGATGTAGGCAATAAAGTAAAGGGAAGGTAAGATTATACATCTCAGAGAAATGTCAAGATTTGGTTGTAATCATGCATATCAAGCCTAAGGTGAACACACTAGTCTGCAAAGAACCCTAAGTGAGGAGACACAGAAGGGTTAAGTGATGGAAAAAGGAACTGGGATGTGCCATGT